CCCCTAAAAACAGTCAGTGATCACTGTCAGCTTCTCTCGGTTTTTATTACTGCTAATCACTTTAAAGCTCAGTTTTTAAACCCTTACGATGTAACTACAGCCCAGCCCGTGCAGCAGTATATTAATGACTAACCTTGTATTGTGAATGGATTATCTAGGTGGTTCTCCTGACTGACGTTTGGTCAGTTTACAGTAATGTCTTCTGCCATGCAATTGCATTTGCCCCTAACCATTGGGAACCCTTATGTTAACTTTTATCGTGTGGAAAAAAGTCCTCCGTTTGTTAGCGTTTGCCCTCCAGCTTTACTGTTTATGTTATGTTAACATAGCTTTGTCATGCTAGCGATCACGTAGCACATCATTATATACCAGCTAGCCCAACTTCAGTAACAAATGTCGTTGCTGTTTAGTTTTCTGTCTTCATTTATGTTGGAAGTGATAGCAGAGCTGTACGTTTGAATTTGTTTCATAAATCACTCAGTCAGAACATGGTATATTATATTTAGATGGAAGCTAGCAAACTAACTCCCTGCTAACTTCTAACTCTGTTAAATATCATAAATTCTGTTTTCATGGATGCCTGGACGTTAAACTTAATTGTTACACCTGGTAGAGCAGCCACATTGATCATTTTATTACAGATGAGAGAATTTAGACAGTTTTCAACTCTCAGTAATGCTGCAGTGATCATTTGACTTAGGGACTTGCAGCGGAGTTTGGGCCCAGACATGGCTAATGACGTCAGACTTAAAGACCGGATACATGTTTTCAGTGGAGAGAAGAATCTTTTGTATACACAAAGCTGTAAAGAACAGCTTTAGGTTTAGGTTTTGAAGCACTTTAGGTTTTGCTTGCTCTCATCAAGGTTCTGTTTTCTGCCCATGAAAGATAACTTTAGATTTATGTTCTTTCATGTGTAAATATGGGGCTAGCTAATTTGCTAACTCAATCTTATATCAACTTTGTAAAGTGACCAAACCTGAAACAAATGTTGGTAATAGCCCTTTTTAAGTCCTATTTTTAGCATTTTGGCTATCACCATTAGAGGTTTTTGAACCAAACTGACCATATCTGGAAGGGTGCAAAGCTATCAGCTAACACTAGCTTGGCTCGTTATCAAGATGCATCCATTTATATCTCGCAGACACAGATACCTAATAAATACAGCCAGACTTTTAACTCACCAAAACTGGAGCATGGGCCTCTTAACGCTTAGCACCAACACGGTTTAGAGGTCCAGCTCAGTGACTCCATTGACGCCAGCTACAAGCCTAGTCAGCACCCCACCCACCCCGTCATCTTTCAAATGACTGACATCAGTGAAACGTGCGAGCTGCCACACTCCCACTTCTTAATGCCTCTTCATTTTTGTTGTTGTCCTCCAGGTGTGTGTAGGTGGGAAGCGGCGTAAGGATGAGATCAGCGTCGACAGCCTTGACTTCAGCAAGAAGATCCTTCACACGACGTGGCACCCACATGAAAACATCATTGCTGTAGCAGCCACCAACAACCTATACATCTTTCAGGACAAGGTCAACTAAAGGGCAGCCTGCCCCCTGCTGACCCCTGACCCTGCACCTGTAAGGGGCTGCTGTCTTGAATTCCCCGACTCTGCTGATGACGACCAGGGTAAAAGTATCCAGTGACTAAAGTGGGGGAAGTGGACAGCACATGTTTTAGGAAGCAACAACTTGATTCCTTGAAATCAAGAATGAACTTCTTCAATTTGACTTATAATTTAATTTATTTAGCCATGCGGACACCCGAAGAATTGTTTCCCATGCGTTTATGCAACAAGAGGATTGCTACCATCACATTATGACGTAGCAGCACTCTGGACCCTAAGGACAGAGGCAGATGTGGGCACAATGAACAGAAAATAGAGCACACTGACAGAAACCAGGCCTACGTGATGGTGGCTCACTGTCATGTAGCAACAGTGCCCCCTGTCTTTTGGTCTTCTCATGCTGCAATGCATGTGATCAACCCTGCAGCCTCTACGTGAGGCAAAATTCCTGAACAGCGCAATGTGCTGCAGAAGAGGAAAAGACTGTTAATCTCTGACCCGCAGAAACTGAGTTCTCGCTGCCTGTGACACAACACAGACAGTCTTTCTAGTACCAATCTCGTGTCTCCTTGTGAGACTGCTGTAGTCTGTAATGTGAATGAAGCCCTTCCAGGCTGTGTCATTGGGTTTTATTTAACGCTTTTGTTTTTGTTGAGTCCTTCTCTCGGTCAATGAGTCTGTTTAGAAGCTGTGGTGCCTTCTTTTGGTATGTGGGGGTTCGATGT